GCTGGAGAGATGCAGCTGGGACTCACTCTGGAACCATGGAAGTTAGGAATAAAGGTTGGGAGTGGTCATCAGATTTGGGACCAAGAGCTGTGTGATCTTTGGGACATCAGTTTATCTTTCTGGGACTTAGTTTCCTCACCTCTAAAATAAGGGGGTTGTAATGACATAGAAAGATGTCCCATGACATAGTGTCTCGGGATATGAGAAATAAATAAATACCAGAATAATATGTATAGTACATTACCTTTGTACTTTAAAAATCCTAAATCATAGGGCTGGCCTGTGGCTTACTCGGGAGAGTGTGGTGCTGATAACACCAAGGCCATAGGCTCAGATCCCTATATGGGGATGGCTGGTTGGCTCACTTGGGAGAGCGTGGTACTGACAACACCAAGTCAAGGGTTAAGATCCCCTTACCAGTCATCTTTAATAAATAAATAAATAAATAAAATTCTAAATCACATATTTACATATATTCACACATGTATGTAAATACATAGGACATTATCTATAAAATACCCACTAATCTGTTAACAATGTTTACTTCTGGGAAAAGAGAACTGGGGCTGATGGGTAGAGAGCAAAAGGAGAGCATGTATTCCTATATTGTTCAAACTTTTATAATGAGTATTTGATGTATAACTTGTGTAATAAATAGTAAAATAAAATGAGGGGTTGAACTCTACAGTCCCCAAGATTCCTTCCTGCTCTCATAGTCTATTTCCACAGAACAGTTTTTTTTTTTTTTTTGTCCTCTTTTGTGACCGGTAAGGGGATTGCAACCCTTGGCCTGGTGTCGCCCGCACCGCGCTCAGCCAGTGAACGCACCGTCCATCCCTATATAGGATCTGAACCCACGTCGGAAGCGCCGCTGCGCTCCCAGTTACACTCTCCCGAGTGCACCACCAAGCCGGCCCTGATTTTAAAAATTCTTTATAAACTTTCCTTATGGTATGTGGGTAAGTGTACATTTCAAGTCACAGGGCATACATATTTCCAACTATATACATAGTAATACATTGTTTTCAAGAGTATTTGCAGCAATTCTACTAGTTCTTTTCTTATCAATATCCTGATACTGCACTCCCAGTGCCGCACTCTCCCGAGTGAGCCATGGGATCGGCCCCACAGAACAGTTTTGAGAGCAGTGCCCTTGTTTCTGGAGCTCTCACTTTCGGAAGAGATTTCGGTCCAAGAGGCCACCACTGCTGGACTCTTGAACCATGTGGCGCATCTGACTCATACAGTCCCGGAGTCGGGGATCTGATGTCTGCAGTCCAGTGGCCTTCAGTGCCTTTAGGGGAAAAAAAGAGGACTGGTAAATTCAGCTACAAGGACAGTAATCTAATCCTAATAATCTTTCTGAATGGATACCCAATTAGCTCAACCCTAACTACTACAATATATGAACATAAAGGTTTGGAAACTGAGAAAGGAGGAAATGGAGATGCCTTGAAGGCTAACAAGGGTTTTCTGCCCTTTTTCATGAGTCAGAGGGTTTAATCTTCCGACCCTAGGACAGGGATGGGATTGTCTTGTTACCCTAGGCATCTGCTGTCATCTGTCTTATTCTCCATCCTCATGTAGCAACCCGTTAGCTGCCTTGCACTTGTCCTACCCTCCTTTTCCCAGTTTCCAGAGATCCTAAGAGATGAGGGATCTGAACAGGTAAAGTGCAACTTACTGTAGTGAACTTGTGGATAGGGATTCGTTCCTGTCCCTCAGCAATTGTGTAGAAGAGCAAATCACCCAGACGGGACAGCATGCCACTTTCTGACGAATCACTGTTTGGAGGCAGAGACAGGGGAGGAGAGAAGAAGCCTGAGAACTGCTCCCTGTTCTTCCTCTTGGAACATGGGTTTATAAGTAGGTCAGTGTCCTCATTCTATGCCTCCTTCCTGAACCATCTGATCTATCCCTATAATTCTCACTTTCACATCTGTCCTGAGATGTTGTAAATATTATTCTCCAGCTTTCTTTTACTTCTGACTATCAGACCTTTATTTCTAGCTGTCTTCTAGACATTTTTACTTCTAGATAGCCTACAGGCACTGAAAACTCAGCATTTCCAAATCTGAGTCATCTCGCATCCCTCCCTCTTCTCCTCCTCTTGTGTTCTCCATCTGGGTTAATAGCATTATCAACCTGGGTGCCAATTTGGATATGATAAATCGTTTTGATAGTTCCCACACCTTAAGTCCATGTTCAGTTAGTCACCAACACTGGATAAATCTACCTTCATAATGTCTCTCAAGTCCACCCTCTCTTCTCCTTTTCCCCTGTGCCAGCATGGTGTAGTAGAAAAAAACAGCTTGCCACTTACTAGCTGTGATCTTGGGCAGGTCACTTAATATTGCTGTACCTGCTTCCTTATCTGTAAAATAAGGGTAGTAATGTCTAGTTCACATGGGTGATGTAGGGCTTAATTAATATTCCGTGAAAACTGTTTGACACTAAGTAGATGCTCTGTAAATTGTGCTTCTTTATCACCGCTCCTTATTGTCTGTTACCTAATTGCCACTATACTCTTGACTTTCAATCAATCTTCCACAATGTGCCAATTATCTTTCTAAAACTCCAGTGTAATTTCAAAAACCTTTAATAGCTCAGCAGTGCCTACAGAATAAGTTCTTATTTCTTGGTATGGCATTCAAGACTCTTTAAACTGTGCCAACTTTTCTTTCCTCTTCCCCACCAATACCCTCACACTCCAGTTATGAGAGATAACAGATGGCTCCCTGAGTGGGTCAGGCACTGTGAGGCTTCCTGGCCTTTGTTTATGCTGTAACTTCTGTATGGAATGACCTTCTTCACTTAGCACAGTCATGATCATCCTTCAAGGTCTAGATCAAATGTCACTAACTCTGTAAAGACTTCCCCAAACCTCCAAATTTTGCTTATGCTGCTGTATGACACAACATACCATCTTACTGTCAGAGGAATCTCCCTCACTCCACTGTTAGGTCTTTGTGTTTTATACATCTTTGTCTTCCTAGTGTTGAGCAAAGTCCCTAGCACACGGTGGGTCGTCAATAAGAATTGCCAAGTTGCACTGCTAGGAAAGTCCCTGTGCCTCAAAGTATCTCTCTCACTGGCTTATAGCACCTAAAATTCCAGGTACTGAAGACTTCTCGGTCTTCAGGAGTTTTCCTATTAGTATGTTAACAGATTTAGAGGAATTATTTTATCAGATCATTTCCAAATATGACAGCTCGCTGAGACTAAGACCATTCAAAACCCTTTGAGAACAATTTGACATCCAGGAATTTGCCTGCAGGCTTACTTATACACCTACAAAGTAACATATTCACCATTATTCATTGCATTGTTAGTAACATTGGAAACAACCTAAATGTGCATCAGAAGGGAATTGGTAAGGGAAATTATGGTATATTCATATAATGGAATATTATGCAGTGTAAAAAAAGAAATTAGGGAGTGCTTTGAGTATCGATATGGAATTATCTCCAAGATGTAATATTAACTAAAGCACATTGTAGAACAGTTTAAAAGGGAAAAAATACATATGTTTGCTTATTCTGGCACAAAATATTTCTGGAAGGACATATAAAAAATGATTCATCTCCTAAAGAGGTGGGCAAAAGGGGTGGAAGGGATACTTTTCACTATATATCATTTGCATTTTATTTATTTATTTATTTATTTATTTATTTATTTATTTATTTATTTATTTATTTATTTATTTATTTATTTATTTATTTATTTATTTATTTATTTATTTATTTATTTATTTATTTATTTATTTATTTATTTATTTATTTATTTATTTATTTATTTATTTATTTATTTATTTATTTATTTATTTATTTATTTATTTATTTATTTATTTATTTATTTATTTATTTATTTATTTATTTATTTATTTATTTATTTATTTATTTATTTATTTATTTATTTATTTATTTATTTATTTATTTATTTAAAAGATGACCAGTAAGGGGATCTTAACCCTTGACTTGGTGTTGTCAGCACCACGCTCTCCCAAGTGAGCTGACTGGCCATCCCTATATAGGGATCCGAACCTGTGGCCTTGGTGTTATCAGCACCATACTCTCCCAAGTGAGCCACGGGCCGGCCCTCATTTGCATATTCTGAATTTTGAACCATATGAATATATGATCTATTGAAATAATGCATTAAAAAATAAAAAGACTCTCAAGAAGCTTGGCATAGAGAGCTGGTGGGTAAGCTCAGTTAGTTAGAGCACAATGTTGCAACAACAAGGTCAAGGGTTCAGATCCCCTTACTGGCCAGCCGCCAAAAAAAAAAAAAAGAAGCTTGGCATAGGCTAGATATGTGTATATTTGGGGCCAAGAAGAATACCAAAAGATGGGGGAGTTTCCTGTTTCTGGGGAAAATCTAATTGTCACATTGAAGCTAGAGCTTATAGAGAAGAGAGGGGGGAAAAGCTATCTGAGGTATAACTCAAGAAGGAAAGTACACAGGAACACTTTGAAGGCAGGTCTCTGTGCCTGGAAGCTGATGGAAGACAGGAAATGAGGCCACACCATGGAATGTATCACAGGTCTTAAATAAAAAAAAGCATACCCCTTGTTCCCGGAAACTGGAGGGAAGGAATAATGAGAAATATTGCTTAATGGGTACAGAGTTTATGTTCAGGATGAAAGAAAAGTTTTGGAGATAAAGGTGGTGGTCACACAGCACTGTGAATGTAATTAATTCCACTCAATTGTATGTTTAAAAATACTTAAAATGCAAACCTTATGGTATATATATATTTTATTTATTTATTTATTTATTTATTTAAAGATGACCGGTAAGGGGATCTTAACCCTTGACTTGGTGTTGTCAGCACCACGCTCAGCCAGTGAGCGAACCGGCCATCCCTATGTGGGATCCGAACCTGGGGCCTTGGTGTTATTAGCACCG